ACATTAAGAAAACATTCTTATCGTTTTTAAAAATATATATTATTTTACATGATTTATTAACAATTATGTATGCAGATACGTTAGTAAAATTATAAATAAAAATAATTTATGTTTTAAAATTAAGTTTAAAACTTTGTACCACTTACTAATCTGACTAATATGAAATATATACATATATTCGTTTCAAGTTTTTACAAAGAATTATGTGTTACTATTTTTTTAAGCGATGGAATTTAATTCGTAAATCTCTGTGTCACTGACCTCTGACATTCACCTAGTTTGACTGAACTATATTATTGTCACTACGTAAAGTAGATAGAGACGCATTTAGGAATTTTACAACAGGTTTTATTCTACAGGTTCGGAAAGTACCGACGGTCCATCTGCCGTTACGTGAGAGCGATAAAGTAAGACATAGAAATCAATGCAATAGAGGACGGCTATAATGAAGGCGTCTCATAGTCACCGCCCGTTTCGCCCTTCCACAAATAAGATCCACTTCTTATTTGTGGAAGGGCGAAATGGGCGGTGACTATTAGACGCCTTCATTATAGCCATCTTTCTCTATCGCACGGATTTCTATGACTTACTTTATCGCTCTCACGTAACGGCAGATGGACCATCGGTACTTTCCGACCCTGTATATGATATTGTAAGTCTTATTATAGAAAGTAGTAAATAATTTGTATTAAGGAGAAAATAGTAGTAAAAATAAAATCAATTCTTGCAAGTAATACTTATTTGTAAAAATATATTTCAAGCCATTTAGAACAATTTTTTTTGTACGGCATTTTGTTTTTGTTGATTATTGTTGTCAGTATCAACAAAATATATTCATGCCGTACAAACATTTTTCACCGTGAAATACTACTTTTCAGAAGGAAATTAATTTTCCTATAGTAACCACATATTTCATGAAGAATGTACGGCATGGCCAAAAATGCCATTATTTTATAAAATAGAATTAAAATTAGTGAATTTGATGTTGGTTCAAATCACCCCCATACGCTACTTACAAATAAAGGGTTGCACCCTGTATTCCTAACCCCTGTATCAGCAAGTACGCACGGCGTCGCTTAAAAATTTATCTATATATAGATCCGAAACTTGCTGTATAAATGCCGTACTGTAATAAATCACCAAAACCCGGGCCAAAATTTTAGGAAAATAACAAATTTTCGTGGCTTTCGGTATTGCTATTTTTGTGCTGCATTAGGCTGAGGTTAATTTTTTTGTATAATCTATATACTTGCCGTACAAAAATATTTGTATGTGGTAGTATTTATTGGTTTATAAGTAATTCATGATAGATCAAATGACTCTTTGAAAATTTCCCATGAGCTTGTAGTTTATAGCAGTTAAGTTTTTATTTAAACTCTTTTTTAAAGGTTTGAAGCTAATTCAAACAAATTCAGAATAATTTTTAAAAATCTTATCAGATGAAGTTAATGTTCTTCGATACCAGAAATTTACGTATGTAAAGGATATATAACCCCACAAACAAGATTGCTAACTGCTGATACTGAGGAAAACAACTACTCTATGGGCGACAGTTCCTATCTAGTATCAGCAGTTAGCAGTCTTGTCTGTGAGGTTAGATACCTTTTGCATACCTAGATTTCTGGTGTCGAAAAACATTGTCTGACTTCATTTGATAAGATTCCTAAAAATTATTTTTTTAAGGTGTTTGTATTAGCTCAATACCTTTAAAAGACAGAAAAATATGTAAGAGATATTAATAGAATTTATGTATTTAAGCATTTAGTTTTGAGAACCTCCTGAAGATCGTTATCCTTTCGGTCCTTTTTGCTTTTATGATCATTGCTACAAACAGATAGATTTATTAATAGTTTTATGATTAGTTTTTATGACAGTCCTGTAGTAAACTTTAAATGGTTGTGTACTGTCATTAACCGCTACTTGCAACTTTGCAATAATTGCAATACGCGACAGGTCAAAGATCCTAGATCCGGTCGTCCGAGCAATGACAATACATCTTTCCTACTCAGCAAAAACTTTGCTGAGTAGGAACACTATTGTAATGTAATTATACAAAATAAAATTAGTCTTAACTCGAACTCTCTATTAATTAACACCAATTATACCACCACCCCAAAAGACAATACTACAGTTGCTTTGGACGTTTTTTTCAAGAATATTTATGTTATTATAAATACATTTTTTATACATGTATAGTACCTACTATTTGTAAAATAAAATATAGTAACATATCCATTAGGAAACTAGACCTTACTATCATGAGGTAATTCGATTTAATAGTACAGAATGAATATACAGCGTGTCCCACTAGTGCGGGAAACTCCAATATCTATGTTAAAATGAGGAATATATGGATTTTTCTTTTTACTGTGTTGCCACATTTCTCGGAATGTACAAATTAAAAATATATTCAACTATACAGGGTGTTCCACTTTTCCTGGACAGACACCAACTTTGGTTTTTTAAATGGAAACACATTTTTATATCTTTTTCGGATTCTACATAAAAAATAAAGGGTACTTTGTGTAGAATAGTTCTATTCAAATATTCACAGTTTTTGAGATATCTCGCTTGAAAGGTTTTTCTAGTCGATATTGGTTGCTTACATTTTCTGATACTGACAGGTTATACTAATAGCTACTAAGCCCATTTTTTTATCAGATGTTTAGTAAGGATGACTCTTCCGAATCATGCTCCAAAAACTGGCCTGCGTTATACAGGGTGACCAAAATATTATGTCAAAATTGGCAATTGAAAAATTGAAAAATCTCGAATTTTTTAAATTCAACGCCCTGTATATTTTCATATCATGAGATGCAGAATTAAATTCTCTACCACTTTGCTATACCTGCTCCTATAATCTGGAAAATTTTCGATTCACATAAGATTTAATAGAAAGAAAGGTTTAATAGAAGAAGAGAAGCCCATGGTAACTGTTTATTGGCAAGTCGTATTTACCAAACTAATAATTCAGATTTACAAAGATATCCTCGTACAAAGTGTTTTGTAAAACTAAAGGAGAGGTTTGAATGAACAACAAATACAAATTTAGAGAAGGCATCAAGAACACATGCGTGCAGTATCCAAAACAGTAAATTAACATCGTGCATTTCTAACAAAAGTAATAAAGACCTAGTTAAATTAGTAATTAACAGGTAACCGCTCAAAATATCTGCCATTTTTCTATAGACATTGAGCAATTCTACGACGAAAATTGCTTGACACATTTCGCAGCATTTCCGGAATTAGGGTAAAAAAAGCATTTCTTATCTTTGCCCCTAAATCTTCTACATCTGTCAGAGGAGTTTCATACACCCTGTCTTCTATATAGCCCCATAAAAAAAAAATCAAGACTAGACAGGTCTGGGGATCGGGGAGCCATGGAATTGGCTACCTATCCACTTATCTGGATATAAATCATTTAAGTATTCTCTAACCTGAAACAGTTTTTCTATTAATTTACATAACTTACATAATGAGAAAACTTACTGCCAGTGTCGAATGTGCAGGGGCACCATCATGTTGGAACCACTGACTGTTTAAGTCATCCGGAGGAATATGTCCCTGCAATTGGAGTAAGTTGTTTTGTAAAAATTGCAATTAGCCATTATCAGTTAAGTTTCTTTCAAGAAAATGTGGTCCAATGACATATTCTCCGCATATTCCCGCCCAGACGTTGACTTTAAAGAAAGCGGTGTAGATGATCGTCTTGTCTTATTAATCTGGGATTATGATCGGCGTAATTGTGATAATTATGTCGACTCTCGCGACCAGTATTGGCAAAGGATGACTCGTCAGTAAATAACACTTTTGAAAAAAAATTTCATCTTGTTGTAACTTTATAGTTGCCCACCCACAAAACTGTACTCGCTTCAGAAAATCTTGCTGTGTTAAGAATTGGTGATGCTCAGAATGATAGAGGTGGAAGTTGTTTTTCTTTAACGTTCTATTAACCACACTTTTGGAAATACTAATTCCTCTGACACTTGTAGATGGATTTTGGACTGCACATTCCAAAATGTCAATTTGACTATCCTGATTACCACATGCGTGTGTGCTTGTTGTCTTCTCATAATTTGCATTTGCCGTTCTTTGTACGAGGATATCTTTGTAAATCTGGATCTTTGTAAATACGACTTGCCAATAAACAGTTACCATGGGCTTCTCTTCTTCTATTAAACCTTTCTTTGTATTAAACTTTATGCGAATCGAAAATTTTCCAGATTATCATTTGACAGGAGCCTACTACGTTATTTTACATAAAGCTATTTATAAACTTCGCAACTATTGAATTTTGGTATAGGAGCAGGTATAGCAAAATGGTAGAGAATTTAATTCTGCATCTCATGGTATGAAAATATACAGGGCGTTGCATTTAAAAAAATCGAGATTTTTCAATTTTTCAATTGTCAATTTTGACATGATATTTTGGTCACCCTGTATAACGCAGGCCAGTTTTTGGAGCATGATTCGGAAGAGTCATCCTTACTAAACATCTGATAAAAAAATGGGCTTAGTAGCTATTAGTATAATCTGTCAGTATCAGAAAATGTAAGCAACCAATATCGACTAGAAAAGCCTTTCAAGCGAGATATTTCAAAGACTGTGAATATTTGAATAGAACTATTCTACACAAAGTACCCTTTATTTTTTATGTAGAATCCGAAAAAAATATAAAAAATGTGTGTTTCCATTTAAAAAACCAAAGTTGGTGTCTGTCCAGGAAAAGTGGAACACCCTGTATAGTTGAATATATTTTTAATTTGTACATTCCGAGAAATGTGGCAACACAGTCAAAAGAAAAATCAATATATTCCTCATTTTAACATAGATATTGGACTTTCCCGCACTAATGGGACACGCTGTATATGAAGATAAGTGCAAATTTGTCGGAAATACTGTAAAAAATTACTTTGCATTTATTTTATTAATTAACACTGAAAACCAAATGACTTAGACATAGATTTTCGGAAAACTTTATTATTTTTTCTGTTACGGCATATAAAATTGTCTAGAAGAAAAAAGCTGCATGCTTGGTGGAGGCCTTAGCCATTGCATGTGCTCGAATATCCGTGATACGAGTCTCATATTGTTTGATCGCAGTGCTCAACCGCTTGATACTTCTCATAATCTTCATGTTGGCTTCCTCCGTCTTGGTCAGCAGGTCTTGGTTCACGTGCATAAATTGTTCCGTCTGCTCGCTGACAGCGTTGATCTGTGCCGCCAGGAACTTACCGCGCAACGCCTCCTCCTATGAAAACGAATTAATAGTATTTTATCATTATTTACAAAACAACAACTATTGATTAATGTAAAAAGAGAATCCTTACTTCTACAAGTTTTTGGGTATCGAAAACGGCCTCCTTCATCTCCTCGTATTTCTTGGTGTGCTCCGATATGGGCAACGTTGATTTGTCCTTGATCTGCTGCTCAGCATCTGCCTTAATCTTATATGCAGTATGCACCACCTTTAAGGTGGCCGTAGCATTTTCACAAGCCGCCTCCGTCTCCTGCGAAGAAGAAGATAATAATTACATAGCCATGTTAGACAAACTTTAATCACCCTTATCAAAATGAGAAATAGGAAGCCAGAAAAATTATCGAATACAGAAAAAATCTTGGTTTGTGTGCTCCAAAATAACATCAGTTTTCATATAAATTTTTTTCGTACAGGCCTTCGTTAACAAGTTACGGGCTCTCAAATGTGAAAATTAAAAAGTTATTCTTATTTACAGTTTCTAAACCATTAACTTCAGCATGATGCAAATTTGGTGATCGATAACACATGCACACAACTTGTTTTTGATGTTGTAAGTGATAATATGCCCAGAACACCAGGGTTAACAATCCAGAATTTTTACATAGATGACGATCGTAATCTGCCTGTATCGAAAATAAGTCCCTGAAGAATTTGCCAACGATAATACCCTCTTGGCTAAACTCGGTAAAATTAACAGTTTAAGAAATCCACCATTTTTTGTTTTTAATTTTTAATTGCACTTAATTACTATGTTGGAAGCATACATATTTTTAAAATAAGAGACGAGAAAATCTTACTGTCTTCTAATGTAATTTTCATTAACAAGATTTCACAAACACACTTTACACATAACACAAAATAGAAAAACAAAAAAAAAGAATACGTTTAAGGTTAAAAAATTATTTAAAAGGAAGGAAACTACCAAAATGCATTTTCAATATGGACACCTTCCACCTACACACACATCCAAGGCTACGAATGTTATTTGTTTGTACCCGAAAAAGGGTAATAATTTAATAGGTCCATACCTTTCTTGCAAAATAATTTGCAGCTACTATTAGACGATGTTCGATTAGACACCCGAAGAAACATTTGCTTCACGCACGATAGGGCTCCTCCCCATTTCAATATTCATGTACGAAATTATTTATCTATAAATGAATTGGGAGAGGAGGCCCAATTTCATGGCCACCACGTTCTCCAGACTTTAACCCGATGGACTTCTTCCGTCGGGAAGTTTAGAGTACGCAACCCCAGTACAGACAAGGGATGAATTGCTACAAGGAATTAATTTCCATTGTGATAATATTAAACATGCCCCGAAAATGCTTTTTCCTGTACAAAGAAATAATATTCGTAAACTTAGGAAGTGTGTGGAGGTGGAAAGTGCCCATATTGAAAATGTATTTTGATAGTTTTCTTTCTTTTAAATTATTTTTTGAACTTTAACTTTATTCTTGTTTTGTTTTTCTATTTTGTGTGATGTGTAAAGTGTATTTGTCAAATTTTGATTTTCTAGGCTCTTATTTTAAAAATATGTACGGTTCTAACATAGTAATTATGTCCAAATAAAAATTAAAAACAAAAAATGGTGGAGGCGTCGCTCGATATTCACTGTAACATAAAATCACAAATATTCCCTAAACTGTTAATTTTACCGAATTGAGCCAAGAGGATATTATCATTGGGAAAGTCTTCAGTGAACTTAATTTTTTATACAAGCAGATTGCCATCGTCATCTATACGAAAATTCTGGGTTGTTAACCATTGGGCATAGTCCGTCCCTGTCGTTCTGGGTATAATGAAGTTTCACTTATAATTTTATTTTATTTTATTTTATTTTATTTTATTTTATTTTATTTTATTTTATTTTATACACTGTTCAACATGTACTACCCAATTATAGAACAGGCATTTTGCAGACAATAATAAAAGAAGTACATTAATTACAAATAAAATTAAAAGGAACAAAAAAATTAATAAAAATAAACAAAAAATATAATATCAAAAACAATCTGTACTCATGTGTTATCGATCGCCAAATTTGCATCATGCTCATAATGGTTTAGAGACTGTAAATAAAAGTAACTTTTTAATTTTCACTTTTGAGGGCCCGTAACATTTTTGTATTTTTTCCTAATTTTCGAAATTTTCTTTCGGTTTCGTAAATATTGTTAAAAGTAAATTACTGTTCAGAGTGTCTGAAAATTAAGAACTAAAAACTTCCTCAACTCTAGTGAGCAGAATATTGAAACAAGTTTCAATAACACCTTTTTGAAAACACTGTAGTTATTAACGTTAACAATAATCTAAAAATTATTATTTTTATTATCATTTGACCATAACTTATTTCAAATTTGGTACATTTATTACTGGTAGTAAACTGCCCGCAAATATCAATGGTTATTACTGATTAGAAAAGTTATCATAAATTCCTGAAATTTTATTTTTATCCTCATTATGAGGGTTTTCAGTAAATTTTTCGGCTGTCACCAATATGCCTGAGGTAATGGGCCAATTCTGACCTCGAATTCGGATTTAGCAGGAAAAAGTACCTACAATACAATTTATCATATAAACACTATTTTGGACGGTTTTCAAGTGATTTTTCGACTTTCACGAAAAATCCTAGAGTGATGGGCCAATTTTGGCCTCGGATTCAAATTCAGCAGAAAAAAAGATGTGGAAATACATAGGTAGGTGTTCTGCTTTTTTGTGTGCTGGTGTATCTTTAATAGGCTTGGCTAAAGTTTTTTATTTAAAAATTACAATTTTCTCATTCTATTTACCTTAATCCAAACTTGTTTTTAATAATCTTGAGAAACTCCACATTGCTCTCGTTTCAGATACATGTGCAACTTGCATGTGACGTATACATATCGTTACATATCGTGTGAAAGCTTAAATTGTTTCTTCAGTTCTATACAGGGTGATTCAGTCATAATGTCATTAATAACGTATTCGAAAGACTTAATAAAGACAGAAAATCGGAAAAAAAATTTTTACTCGACTTTTAAAAATGAAGGAAATCAACTCCCGCTAAGAAGGCGGCCCTGCCAGATGCCCGGATGCTCGAAAAATTTTGTAACGTAATGTCACGAACAAATCGTCAGCTGAAGCGAACAGCGTTGCCAAGTTCACATCATAATCTGTGTTTACATTTAATTAATCCGCTTTAGTATACGGATACATATGTATGAAACCAATAAAATGCAAGTAAATAAATGATCATGCTGCATTTTATTATAACTAATTTTAATAATTTAGTGCAAAATGTTTTAACAAGCCCGACTTCTCGAAGTCAACTTTCGTTAAAAGAAAATAAATAAAGCAGAGGTTTGTAGGCACACTGTATTTTATCAAATAAAAAAAGTCGGCACACCAAATACCCGAATATACAAAATACACTACACACGGTTACAAAACCATTACCTAACAATTTAAAGCGTTTATTCAAATCTACCACCCTCCATATCTCCCGCATTTTTCCCGCAAAGGAGTTAACATAACACATTTTCAAAAAGTTCAAGCTTTAGAAGTAGCTGATTTCCCCAATCGTTTTGTAATTGGTTCCTAAGTGCAGCAGAACTTTATTAACAAAGTGCTCTGGACGGATGAATGCTGTTTTATTTGTGCTGGCATTTTAAACAGGAAAAAACATAAGTATTGCTTTCTCAAAAACAATAAGTGCCTACCTAGGTTACACCAAACTTTAGATTTACACTAAAGTTTACATTTATTATGTAAACTTTGATTATACGTAACTGCATATTGAATAATAAACTGAAATACTAAAACTGTGTATTATTTAACATAATAAATTATAAAACGTGAAAACGTTAATAATATTAAAATTGATAAATTGTAATAACCGCACATTCAAAAACAATCATCCATATTCATTGATGACACGATTTTCCTTTGATAAAAGACCGACAACTTTTTGCTCTACTTTGCATGGAATACGATCCTACCAAACTACTTGTTTATTTGTCTCCGTGCGATTATATTTTTATCTTCTATTACTTACAGTCAATATTTAAATACTACATACATTTCACCCTCTCTTTATAATTTATCTAGTGATTGTTGGTTTTTTATATCATTATTTACTTACATACTTTTCTGTATGCCGTGTTTAACTGTGGGTGTAAAGTCGGGTGTGTGGAATAAGAAGGGATTTAACAATTTTGGGAACGTCACGCGAGATGTAACCACAAAGCTTCTTCGTAATATACATGTACGGTGTGCGTTAATGTTCGCAGAAGTCCACAAGCCGAACTAATATTTCTATTTTTTATAAAATCCTAAAATGAAAATCCTTCTCGCGAACATCAGTTTTTCGGAAATACTGCAAATACAAATAAAAATTTCCAAATTCATTTAAAGGCGTTTGACCTCGAAAGTTTGAAAATTTTCGCTTGCGGCGCTTTTTTTTTCTTTTTAGTCAATATGCTTCACCTATCCTCAATGTCACGAGCCGCCACTGCAAACGCGAAACCAATAACTGCTTTATTACCGGTTTCGTATGGGGCGCTATAGCGAAAGGCCGACGTAATGTCTATGATCATACGACTGAGTCCCGAACTCTACTAATTAGAAAAGAGGTAATTTAGAAGCAAAGGTTTAACTAAATTAATGAATTTTAAAATTTTACGTTTTGTATGCCTCTGATATTAACCGAATAAAACGCAATTCATATTAAGAAAACACCGGGCAAGTTACTTTAGAATCCGTATGGCAATTATTTGTCTCTATCTTCCAACAGAAACCTGGCCTACGTCACACTAGATATTGATGGATTTTTTGATTTACAAATTAAACCCTGCATTTGCTGCCCACTTGACAATTATTTAATTTGTGCATACGCGTATCAACAACCTCTTTATTCGGGTCATGAAGATATTAAAATACATATGGCAATTATGTATTTCTATATATTCCCATGGTAGACTGACCTATATCACAATAAACATTAAGGATTTTTTTTATTTACAAATTAAACACTGCACGTGTAGTTATAAGGCCGATGGATGATATATCCTGGGTTATGTGTACTTTTTTTAGAAGCAACACCATACGAATGGTATAATGTAATACTATGTATTCATAACTATTGTTCCATGCTATTTAATTTTAGGCATTAATCCCCGTTACGATTATCCAACCCTTTCATAATGTTAATTCTTAGAAATATTCTGTTTTTAGAAGTGACGTCATGTTCCATTTTTAGATATGACGTCATCAACATCTGGTAACTATATGCGTATAGAGATCAACGACCTTGCGGACATAACCTCACATTTCAAATTTTATCTGCGCTCTCATTTACCCACTACTAATAAGAACTATGTTTAGTCATATTGCAGCCTGTTTACTGCATAATTGGGAGAAATTCAATGTTGGTCGTGATATGTAGCTCGCACAGCAGTTGCTTCCCATAATATCATTGGTTAGGAAGCAGGGCTGAATCCCAAAAGGCCAACATTTTCAATACCAACATTTTCTATCTCATTTGCTTCGCTTATCCGGGGACACATTGTATATTTTTGGTTTTACCTCTTTCAGCTCCAATTTGTAAATTAAAGGAAAATAAGGCACCTACCTCCGCCAACTTTTTCTTCTTCTCGCCTTCTTTTCGCAATTCCTTTTTCATTTGACCTACGATATTTTCGTGTCTCCTCTGCATTCTCCAGGCTATCTCCTCCTTATGGCTTGATAGACACTTCAGGAACCTGTTCCATAATGTATTTTATAAATAGGGATTCATCACTTTTTTCAAAAATAATATAGAGTGCTTCTAGAGCTATGACACCATGTACTTATATTTTTTAATTATTTTTCATCTATTTTGGACGCAATTTTATCTCCAAATTAAAGCCGTAAAATTTGCCGCGAAAACATATTTGCGTGGTATATTATGAGTTGCATAACTCGATGATGACGTAACAAAGTAGTATTATCAATGTCAACGTATCCGCAAGATCTTTTTTTCATATTTTGTGGCGCAAGCATTCTATATATAATGTGAACTACAGTGACTCTATGAGCCACTGTAGTGTGAACTGATTAAGATGGCTGCAACAAATAAATTTTACAAGTGGTGTTTTGTACCATCTTGTACAAATACTTCAATAAATAATCCAAATAAACATTTTATAACTGTACCAACGGACTATTCTAGAAAGTGGTTTAAAGCAGTTAGAAGAGATATACCCAAATCACGAAGTAGTTTCCTATGTTGTGAAGATTACTGTATTGTAAGTAGGTAATTTCATAATAATTTTTACAAGATGCTTAAAACTCTTGGAAACATGGAAAACTATGCGTTTCAAACTAATAGGTGGAAAAATCAAACTAAAACAGGATGTGGTACCACATATTTCTGAAGATCAACAATGTGGAAAGAGAGCGACAAGTGCCCCTGAGGTTTCTGCATTTATAAAATGACAAATACAAGATGTAGTAAAAAGACGTCTCTTTTACTCCTCTAACCTTAGAGGTGCATTAAAACAATAATCACTTTTAACGAATTCATTACCATAAAAATGTCTATTTTTGGTAAATTATTAGAAGCAGCTTTCACAAATCCTTCTGTAGCCATTGAAATTGTAGATAAATAAAGAAGAATGTTAACGATTGTAATTTTAATAACTGTACTTACACAGCACGAGTATAGGCCGGTGTCCTATGCATCCGAGTTCCGATGTACGATATCCGAAAATATTTTAATTCATACGAATGATAATATTATAATTCACATGCATCCGAAATTAATCTCATAGAAATCAAGTATAGGACCATGGAATTTATTACAAGATGGTCAAACATGTTTAAATGACAACCATAGGTATATACTATATAAAATATAAGTAGTATTATATTTTCTACATTCGACATTATAATATAACATTTATTTGACTGTAAATAAATAAGCGCGAAGAATTAAGGTGATTCGTCGTTAAGAATTAAGAGGAGCCTTTTATATAAAAAAACTATTTCTACCCCCTCCCTGCAGGGTTTTGGCTTTTCAAACGCTGAAGGAAAAATTTAGTTTTTATTTTTTCCTTAAATAAAATAATAAAGTATTGACAATAGAAGAAAAGTTACGGAAGAAATTTTCAATAGTAGAGAAACCATTCCGAATTTCACATTTGTAACTTTCTCCATACTTAATAGAAAGAAAGAAAAACTATATATGTTTTGTCCCCATTTAAAAAACCGTAAATCCATAGAGAGGTGGCAGAGATTTTATTTTACATGAAAGACTTGCTTTTCGGCGAGAAATCATTTCCTTAAATTTTGCGCATTGTAGTTATTTAGTTTGAGAACATTACAATCGGATCCGATATTTGGAAATGAACTCTTGATTAGCGGAAAGGCTTATTTTTTTACAAATAAATTCAGAAAATGAACAGAATAAATAGAATAGAATAATAAAGGTAGTTCCAATAGATACGGGAAAAATACTATGATTTACTCACTTTTCTATGAGTATGACGGGATAGGCGGTCTGTAATCGTTCCATCTGCTTCTTAGTGGGGATTTTGTCGATGGCTTGCTCCCACATAGCTGCCGGGAACTCATACTTATCTTCGGGTGCAGCGTCCGAGAACTCTAACATCGACCTGGGCAACATCTTGTCTTCTAACTCATCTAGCAATTCCTCTCTTTTCGCTACCTAATTGGAAAATCAACAAAGATGACTACCAATATTGCAGTGAAATTCTGAACATAGCCCACCTTGTCCCTACGCGTCTTCACTCGATCAAATAGTAGCAGTAGTAGCTCGACCCTTCTCTGGGACTCCTCCAGCTGCTCGAATTCCTGGTACATACCCTTCTCGGTGAGGTCGTGCACCAGCTGAGTCAGAAGGCCCTCCACGGTATCGTTCTCCGCAATTTCTTTACCTGTGAAAGACAGAGGATTAGGGATTGACCGTTTACATTGACATTTTTTTTCCAAAATTTTGGAGTGTAGGTACGTTCTACTCGCGCCAGAAATGTGAATCTAAAATCAGTCGATTTTGTGCCTGGATCACAAGTTTAAATGTGCGTTACGTTTACATGGTAATTTTTATATCATATTCCACTAGATCGTTTCTACGAACAACTAGATTCGGCGTGTCTTCCAAAACTTGATGGAAATAATAATAACTCGTAGTCCCTATTCGTCAACATGATTCTAAACACAAATTTTTGTCAACATTACTAAACTCTCCAAACCATTTCATCCAAACAACATATCTTTACTTGGCCTCCTATTAATTAATGACGGAAATTTACTTCAGTGCCTCCAATCGGTCAATCTGATCATATTGTCATTTTGTCTAAATTACAAATAACTCAACAAGTTGCTTGCAGAAATGTCACCAAAATATTCCAAAAAATTAGTTATAACATACTGCAATATGTTCTGATAGAACGTAACTACTTAAGCCAAGACATTAACTACACAATCGGTTATATCATCATGTCAACAGAACGTTGACTATACATCAGCATGGGTTTATAAAGGGGTGTGCTACTACTAGGCCAGTCATTATAGCTTTTTGTCGGAAAAAAAATACTATTAGAAGTTTCTCTGCGGAATATTGTTCAAAAACGTGTTATAAACAAAATATNATAATTATAGATTTTTTATATATCCCTACTGAAGTATGGAAATGTGGACTAACACATTTGGGATCATCTTTATCCACGAATCGCTCGGTCCTTTACCTGTTATAAAATGTCCCAAAATATCAATCCCTCCAAAATATTATGAAGATATAATTATAGATTTTTTATATATCTCAAAGTTGACAATTATTCTTTTGAGCCGGACTTCACTTGCAATTCTCTACAGACCACTAACGCATATAATGCGTAAGAAAGTAATTCCTAAACATGTCTCCAATTAATTAATGAAAAATATAAAACAACGTGTAAAAAGTACCTATCCAAATGTCTTTTTCATTTCTGGGATGTTTTAGAGGAGCACATAGTTTCTGCTTCATCGATTCGCTTCGTCCAGACACACAGTGTCATCGTCGTAATCATAATTTCATTGTGTGAATTATTATGATTAGTGTGGTATAAGTAGTATGTATTATATTCTCTATTTTGACATAATAGATGTTTGACCTCTGCCCTTATCTTCCTTTAATATTCCACTCCATCGTGATTTTAGAGGAATTAATCCGTAACAGGGCCAATTGTACGGTACTATCTGTCCATTCTGAAGGAATTAATCCATTTAAGATAGACAACCATATTTTAACTTGTCTTATACTTATGTGTAATACATTGAAATTATGTTGAGGAAGAAAGAAGACTAATTGCAACTACAACTGCAACAGCTGAAATGCAGTTGTTAACCTCACAAAAGGGTGTATACTTGTGCTTTTAGGGTTTGATTCAGGGGGCAAACTAATCGAACATGAAAAATGGGCAATTTTCCATATGGAGTTTTTATCGAGAAGTAAAAAAAAGAGCTACATGATGAACTATAAATGTTAAGAATCCAAAAATCAATAAAAGAGAATTATTACTAAAAGCCCTAGCATAAGTGGATTATTTGCAATAATGTTACATAAACTTAAAGTATTTATAAAATAAAGTCAGTAAATGTCAAAATTGCTTCTTCCTGTTTCATTGGAATTCTGCGATATAATAAATGATGGCATATTGATACACTGATAGAGAGTGGATAAGTTCTCCGTGATAGAGGCAGAATCCTGGAAAAGAGTAGCAATTTTCATTAAATAAAATTCTGGAATTCCGTAGCCGTCACATCCTTCTGTACAGATGGCCCTGCCAAAACTGATGAAAAGTGTTTTAAGTATAAAATAACAATGCACTTGCACTGGATATAATTGCAACGAACGCCAACACAAATACCCTATTAACAAAACGTAAGCTAAAATGATATGTGTATCAAAGTCAATTGTGGATTTGCCTTTACAATTACTGTGGTACTAATATATCATATATAGACAACCACTTTGCATGACATTATCAAAACCAAAAAATTAACGATATACGTGTTACATATTTTCATCAAACCTATTGAAAAATAAAAATCGGATTCCCACATGATATAAAACTATTTTTAGGGAAGGTAGAGGAATTGCCAAAATAGTGGCACAAGTGTGTATTTGGATGTAAAACAGAATAGTATTTTCTCTGCAAAAGTGTATGGATTATTTTGACATTATTATTATATTTGTCAATCTTTAATTTGATTTTCTTCCTTACTTTGTAAGTCTTTTCCCCTTAGGAAAATAAAGTGATGCACGTAGGTAATTGTTACAATGTGGCACTGAATAATATTTTTTTATTTTGCTGCCGTTCTCCATGTTAAAAGTAAACTCTTTTTTAAGCAATTGAAGAATATGGTCAAAAACTGCAATTGAGAGCTTCACGCTACATGTCGCCCCCTTTGTTGTTCTCTCTAATAATGTATTCGTGATCTATCAAACTGCTTATCACAATGATGTTTTAAGCTCAAAAGAAAGTAATGTTTTATATTTATACCATCTAATTCATCGGCAATATTCTGCAGCAGGACATCATAAAAAGTGAGAACCCTCATTCTCTCCGCAGGATCCTTCCTTTTCGCCAGAATTTTCTCCATCTCGTACACTGGAGGCACCATTTCCGAATATTTCTCTTTCAGTTTTTGATCAAAAGACCTGCAATAATCATTTCAACAGTTTACGTTGCGAAGAACGATGTCTTTTTTCGTTATCAAAATGTTCATTCTCAAATTACTCTAATATCTTTGAAAACAAATAAATACTCTATATTTGACTATTAACTCAATTTGAGAACGACAATAGTCTTTGTATGAGATATTTGTGATATTTTATTAAAATTTTCTTTTTTTTTGCGCTCGGTCCATATCACTTATTTATAAAATAAATAAACATAGCGGCCCAAATAAAAAAACAATCGAAAGACAAAGTTGTTTCCTAAGACTATTGTGTAATAATTTTTCAAAATATATTATTGTTTAAATTTAAAGAGTAAACTGTGCAAAAAATCGCAGCCCAGAATGTTATTACAAAATGTGCAGCAACTGTAGCATGATCAGAGGAGAACGTTGTTTTAAACCCGAATTCTATTGCTCAAATAATAATTGTTCAAATTGTAATTTTAACTTTATCTTTAATAAAAGGTGATTTTTAAAATTTTACATTTATTAGATTACTTACCGTCTCCTGATTGGTAAGTAGTCACTTACCGATCGCTAATTTGTAAACGTCACTTACAAATGTCTCGACAGATTCAGTAAAGGTGTCAAATCACCAGAGCGTGCAAAAAATACATTTTGAATCTGATTCAACGAATTTCAACTTCAAGATAAGTGACGCTCTATTATCTTGATAAATGATACTACTACCAATAATTATTATAATAACTAAACAATCACCCTTCCCCAGCGCCAATCCACATGGGTTCCTCGTTCGTCAATGACACTCCAATGTACGCAAAGGCGCCTTGTCCGTTCGGCAATGTTCTAGTAGCGATATAGGTTCTGCCCTGTTTATCAGACGTTTCCTCAGGACTCACTTTATATTCCGTGTCGTTCAACCATTCGGGTGCCTAAAAATTCAATTACTAAGTAAATATTTAGACACGAAAATAATCAAATTCGAAATATTTAAATTCATCAACGAGGTACAGTCGGCGCCACCCAAATGTGAATGGCAATATTGTACCGTGTAATTTAAACTAAAAATCATGGTCGTCGTAAAATTCAATAGTTGTCAAATATATGTCACTTAGAGCAAACATAATGAAATGTAAACAAGTAACGTGAAATATGCAGGAGCATTTAACTGAGGCGCAAAGAACAAGGGCTGTAACTAAATTAGAAGATAATTGGTCTTTGAGTGAAGTGGCTGCTGATTTAAATGTCAGTAAGAGTTGTATATTTTATATTAAATAACGCTGGCGAGAACAATAATTACAAAGATCTATCAGGCAAGGTGTCGGGAAGGTTTCCAGTGACGCGGAAAACAATGCCTTGGTCGAATTTATCCATCAGAATACCCTCTCTGTGTTACGCCACTAAGAAGAGTTTGATTTACTACAATAAAATCCAAATGAAATTTCCATAACAACCAAAATCCGTTCACATTTGGGTGGCGCCAACTGTACAGCGTTAGTCCCATTTGCATCTATATTGGGCAGAATAAAGAAGGCTTAATTCTGTTCACAAAAAATGGGCAAAGAATTAACTACAAAGTACGCATCGAGTTTTCTAACCATTAAGAGGATGTGATGTACATATCAGGATTTTGTATTGTATGGATTTTTTTTTCACACGTTTATTGTAATCAAAATATACAGGGTGTTAATGAACTTATGTCAAAAATTTAAAGAGGTGAAAAAGGAGGAAAAACTGACTTAACTGATGACACAAACTTGTATCGGAAGTTTCCGTCATAGCGAATAAAGCTAATTAAAAATGTGTTTAAAACTGTTTTGGAACTGCTGACATACATATATTTTATAGCGGCGAGTACTTACAAAAAATTCTGTAACATTTTTTACGAATTTGAAGGGACGCCGGACTATATTCGAAAGTCAGTTTGTAATATATTGTTGTGATGATTGCTGTGTCGTTTTTCGAGAGTACATTTAGTAGCCGTATTTCCAATTTTTCTTTTGAAAATGGCGCATTTATTTAGCAATCGCGAATATTATGGTATACTTTTAATTTATGGCGAAGCAAACGAAAATTCCCACAGAGCTTGTCAAGTATACGGTGCAAGAACGATGTGCCCTCGCACGGCGAACATTTGTTGCTATAGCGCAAAGAGTTTTGAACATCGGTGAAGTACAACCGCGTCAAAGTCGTGACGGTAGTCTAGGGCAACCACTAGGAATCTTAAATATCGAGGAGATGATTTTAGATCTCGTCGAAGAAGATCCGCATCGTAGCACCAGAAATATTGCACAGTAAGTAAATATTTCGCATCCTGTTGTGTGGCGGACATTACGAGAAGCTCAGTTGTACCCATTTCATATTCAACGTGTGTCAAGTGCTTACTCCTGAGGATTTTCCACTACATTGAGGTTTTGTGAACGGTTGCTTCAGGAACATGCAAGAAATCCTCAATTTACAGCGCAAATACTTGTTACAGATGAAGCATGTTTCAGTCGAAATGGTGTACGTCCACATCACTCACCACTGGACTATTGAAAATCCACGCGAAATACGTCGCGGTCCCTTTCAGCAACAGTTTTCAGTGAACATGTAGGCCGGTATCATTAATGACACTTTAATAGGACCTTTTGAATAACCTAGACGTTTAGACGGTGCTTCATATCTAGATTTCTTGCAAAATCGCCTGCCGGATTTATTGGAAGACGCGCCCTTAAATGTTCGGCAAAATATGTGGTTACTGCATGACGAAGCTCCCGTTCACTTTATTCGGGGAGTGCGCGATTTTCCAGACATTACTTTTCCCGATCGCTGGATATGCCGAGGCAGCCTAGTTAGATGGCCCCCCGGTCCCCGGACCTTACCCCTTTAGACTTCTTTTTGTGGGGATATGTGAAAAATGTTGTGTATTCCACGGAAGTTCATGACATCGACCAACTGCGACATCGTATTACCGAAGCTTATAATACGATTCGAGAGGACGTGGCAATGTTACAACGCATACGAGTGAATTGGATACGTCGCACTGAAGCTTATGTGCAAGCAAATGGTGGATACATCAAACAACTATGAAAATCAGCACTTCTCAAAAGGTGGCTCCTTGCAATGTTGAGATAAGTCCGATTTCAAAATTACATTTTACTCAACACAAATCCGTGTATTTACCTCATTTTGACATAAGTTCATTAACACCCAGTATAAAGGGTAGGTTTCTAAGGTTTTCATTGTTTTTCCATCAAATCGTTTTTAAATCGCCATAAAATCATAGGATAGATTTCATCAGACAGTTTACAATCACGCCATCAACATACATCAATATAAAAAACAAATGTTCAATNTAAGTTCATTAACACCCAGTATAAAGGGTAGGTTTCTAAGGCTTTCATTGTTTTTCCATCAAATCGTTTTTAAATCGCCATAAAATCATAGGATAGATTTCATCAGACAGTTTACAATCACGCCATCAACATACATCAATATAAAAGACAAATGTTCAATATTGATCAACGTGAATTAACTAATGATAGGAAAAGACAACCAATCGCCTTCATGTGTTGTGCGAATGATAGATTATTAATTGTCCCTGATGAATGAAAAAGAGACAGACATATTATCGTTCGTTGCGCGCTTAATATACAGGGTGTTTTTGAATGAAGTAGCATAAATGATGCCAGTGAATCTACATTTCAAAAGAACACGATCTGCAAAAAATCGCTTTAGTAAAATGTTCACCCCTGAAGAGCTATGGGCCATCAAAGTTTCAAAAAATATTATGAAAATTGGCTGTAATTTGAAAACCGAATGAGGTACAAATAACAAATTTTTACAGGTTGTTTACTAATACAGATGCGAGTTTTCAACTATTTCTCGAAAATTTTAACCCCTCGAAAGGGGTTGAAATAACCACCCCTCAAGCCATTTTTTGCCATAACTTTTATATTTCGTAAAAACTCGATATCCAAAAATACGCATTAGATAAACTGGTTCTTTTAGAAACTTTTACCTCTCTAGCAATTTTCCTTTAAAACTTTTCGTTTATTAATAAAAAAATAAAATGTATTACCATTCACCTCACACCGTATATGATTGCAATCAATCAAAGAAAAACTAAGTGTGCTGCTGTCATGCCAGTTGTCACAATTAACTCTTCTGTAAGTTGTCACTGTTATCAGCTAAATACTTTTTGGGTGTAAATTAACAAGAATTATGCCAAATTTTACTAATGATGAATATGTGGACATGCTACAAGTGTTTTTTTCTACGATCGTGCAAAATTTACTACTTATTGCACTACCTACTGTGCCAAAAGTTTAACTTTTTTTACAGTAGTACAAAAAAAATATTGATTACAAGTTTAATCTAAGCATATCCATAAGTACCTAACGTCTGACATTGACAATTTGCGCAATTAATTTCCAGTTGTCAGTTAAAATTTTAATATTATGTAAAATACTGTTAAATAAAATTTGAAATAAAAACAATCGTAGAAAAAATGTTGCGTGCAACATGTGCAAAAAGCATATTTGTTGCACTTAACATGATTGCAGCTCTCAACTTCGTCTCGAGCTGCAAACTTCATGCATCGTACAACAAATACACACTCTTTACAGTAGTTGCACAAATAACTGTTTGAATGTCGCAGAAACTTTTATTAAATAGAAGTACAATGAAAACGAAACTAAGAAATAATTTATTATCAAAAAGAGAAAAAACAAAAAACTTAGTTAAAGGACATTTTCAAAATAATTGCCATTTCTTTCTAAACACAACCTAACACGTTTATCAAAGTTGTTACGGACTCGAGCAAAAATTATGGGATTGTTGCGAATCTCATCAGCCGCCGCGAATATTCTTTCCTGTAGCTCTTCAACACTGTCAACTGGGGTCGCATAAACAATACTTTTTATATGTCCCCAAAAGAAAAAATCCATGGGCGTTAGATCGGGAGAACGTGCAGGCCAAGAGATAGGTGCCTCATTGCCGCGACCTATCCAACGATTCGGGTAATTTAAATTAAGCCACCGCCTAACTACTACAGTGCTGTGAGCAGGAGCCCCGTCATGCATGTACCACATGGCCTGACGTACATTTAATGGTACTTCCTCCAGAAGTGGTGGTAGATGCTCATTTAAGAACTGCAAATATTCAACAGCACCAAGTCGATGAGGTAAAACAAAAGGGCCGACAAGCACATTTTCTACAATTCCTGCCCAAATGTTTAAACTAAAATTATGTTGAAATGTTGTCATAGATACTTCGTGAGGATTTTCATGAGCCCAGGAATGAAGATTGTGCATATTGGTTAAACCATGTCTTTGAAAAGTTGCTTCATCTGTGAAAAGTATCTTTGAGGCAAAATTCAAATTATTTCTTAGAATATTAAGATACGATTCGCAAAAAACAACTCGCTTATGCATGTCTGGTTCAAGTAGAGCTTGAACTGGCCGGTGGTGAAAAGGATATAATAAATTATCATGGACAATATTCCAAACAACACTATGGGACACATTTAAGTGCATTGCTGTTTTTCTCGTACTAGTCTGACGATTTTCGTCAAACTCTTCAAGTACTGCATCCTCAAGATAAATAGTACGAACAGTAGGTCTTCGGCCGGTACCCTCAATATGCGGCTGTATTTTTCCAGTTTCCCGAAGTCTTCGTTCTACCGCCGAAAAAGTTTGTCTGTGGGGAACTTGACGATTTGGATATCTCTCATTATACGCTCTTGTTGCCGCAGCACAGTTTTTGCGACATTCAAAATACACTTGTAGCATGTCCACATATTCATCATTAGTAAAATTTGGCATAATTCTTGTTAATTTACACCCAAAAAGTATTTAGCTGATAACAGTGACAACTTACAGAAGAGTTAATTGTGACAACTGGCATGACAGCAGCACACTTAGTTTTTCTTTGATTGATTGCAATCATA